TGGACGCCACAACTTAGAACACCTCAAAGATGTTTGTGGCGAAGTGGCTATTTCACTTACCAGAAAAGCTGCAAAGTTGAAGAAACTTTACAAGGATTTTTTATATCCATGCATGGTTTTAATTCAGTCTGATCCCATGCACGCGGACATGACAATTAATCAATTTTGTCGTACAAAAGCGAGTGCATTTTGCGGATTTCGTAATCCTCTCCCAATTTCCTTTAAATTTGCATTGAACGAGCATTCGCCGAAAAAACAACCGTGCTTTCCGCAAGAACTTGCACGCTGAAGGTCTACGCTGCCCCATAATACAAAAACCTTCATTCCTGTCGACACCCTTTGTCTCTGCACGTTGAAAAGGCTAAAACACAGCCAGTACGAGTCCAAGTGTTGAACTACAGCGTAGGAACCATTTCTGCTGTTCACAGTCTGCAAGTTTATCGCAAAAACGAATGATCGCAAATGCAAACCTGGTGCACTGCAGTCTGGATTAACTCCTTTAAAGAAGGTCACTACAAAATATGCAAAACCGGATTGATCAACCGCATATCACAGCGTCGTTCATCTATGCAGATGGTAACATTTTCATTTACTTTGCCCAGCACTATATTGGTGGTCAACTTGCTGGCGACTTTGACGTTCGCTTTGAGCAATATTAAGCTAATAACTTGAAAACTAACTTACGGTTTCAGGGAAGCAGGTGTAAGTGGCGCCAAACCACTGAGATACAGGAAAGGGCGTATTTTCGATATACTTGATGCATCCTGCGCAATCACTTTTGAACTCGTCATAACCACAATTACGGTAAATCCAGACGCGCTTTTGGCAGCTCGAAACAACACGAGGAAGTGAGGGCTCAATAGTGAGGTGTGTATAGTGGCATGAAAATGGTTACTGCTAGAAACGGAACCAGAAGAGAGGGGAGAGCTTTGCCTCCTTTGTTAAGCACCACAGTGAGCGATATTCATATGTGCGGCAAAAAAGGAAAACGTTTATGGAGTGGAGGACGGATGTAATTGAGCGCAGAATAAAGCCAAGATTGCTAGGCTCGAGGCTCTGTGCCCACCTAGGCACCGCACTTAATGGATTTGCAGTCGAGCTGAAAAAGTGCAGCCTACTCAGCTTTTTCGTCCAGTGGTTATCTCCTTCACTTCAAAAAGGAGCAACGAGGCCGATGATGAGATGGGCTGAATCAGCAAGAACTGGGCCCGCTGGTTGCTCTAGGCCACGGGCGACCATATATACTCGGTCTGTTGCTTCGAGACCTGCACATTGTCCCAGGAAGGATCTGTTGTCGCTACTCCTGGCAGTATTCCCTTCAGCACTGATGGTACTTGGCCTGAAATGTTATTCATGCTCATATTCGATGCTGGAACTGACGCGCGAGAACGACGATTTCTTCTGTGCCAACGAATCACTCGTGCAAATGGAGCGTGACGCCACTGTCCGCATTTGCACACCATGGGAAAAATTTTGCGTGGTCAGCAGTCTGCTTTTACTTCGTTATTCTTCTTAAGAATACGTATAGACACGGACAGACAAATAGACACACATACGCACATAACAGCCGATTACACAAGTATTCAAACAAACAAACATAAACATGTATGCACACAAGCGTACACATATATGTAAACAAACATAAAAAAATCCAAACACAGCACATGCACACGTAAATATAAACACAGAAACAAACACAAACATACACACACAGACATACACACACGAACAAACAAACAAAAACGTGAACGAACATACATGCACATATGCAACACATGCACACACATTCATGTATGCGCGTATTTGTTTTCCGCATTCGGTCGTATAAAATAGTTTCTTTGGTCGAAATTTTAAGGATTTGTCAATTTTAATCAGTTTTTACCAAATTCTGCCGAGCAAACTGATTAGGAATCGACAATGCACAGAAATTAACGTACTATTTGATTTCAGGTAATGTGCTTCGAAAAACAGCCAAAAAAGTTTTGCAACTAAGATATTTGAGTCTAACCATTGTGTATGGTTAAATAGAGCGTACTTTTCGTTGAATATTGCTAAATAATTTGATTGGAAGTTCCACATGTTTTCTAAACGTTTTTTCAAGCATTTTCAAGTTGCGAAATCTCAAAAAACAACTAAGCCAGCGAAATAATTACATGATGTGCGATTGTTTTTTGGACAATAGTTATATTTCTACTCAAATATTTGAACGCTCAAGTACTTTATAAATTAAAAAACCTCAAAAACCCTACGATGGACAGGAGGATAAGAGCAGCCACATGATACTAAACATACGAAAGAGCAGAAGCAACAGCTTAACAAAATCGAAGAAGCAGATGTGCCAAGGAACATTTATCACGTTTTCAGCTTCCCAACTATGCTTTTTATCCAGGAGATGTACACACGTACACACGTACACATGCACACATATGTACACCACTGAAATTTTATACGAAATCTTAAATTCATAGTGGTTAAATTTATCGCTCTTTTGATTAATCTACCAACTAACTCAGACGCGCTGAATTAAAGAATAAATACAGATTAGTTGGTGGAAACACTGTACTCTTAGCTAAAACTGTTAATTCTTCACATTTGTTGATTCTTTCAGTTTCTAGCATTTACAAATGTACTTCCCAATTAACTGTTAACTATTTCTTCAGTAGCATCCACGAGTTATAAGCTTGCCAGAAAAAAAATTCGGGTGGCCCGTACACGAGTACCACGCTTACACGGGGGATGGTTTTTCGCGCGTCAACGTCTACTTGGACGGGGAACATCCTCCACAGATTTCAGCGCTCTAGCTTCTCATATTCCCGAGTTATGATCTTGCCAGGAAAAAAATTCGGGTGGCCCGTACACGAGTACCACGCTTACC